TATACATCAAGGAGAGAGGGAGGTACTGATAGAGAAAATAGAGCTAGAGAGTCAAAAACAGAGACAAGACAGAGAGAGACTCTTACAGATTTTGAGAAAGAGACAACAGATTGAATCACCTTGGTGAAGAATACATGCATTCTCTAGCACCAACCTAGAGAGCAGTGATGATTCTTAAATGCCAGTGAGTGTCTCAAAAGGCATATTTCACTTCTTCAGAGTCATTATTATTTAATTTTCTCTACAGAATACATCATAGTTCTAAATTGTACTGCCTCCATTCAATCTACCTCACAAAATCCAAGGACAACAGGTCCCCTAGGTGATTTTCATGAATGGTTGGTCACTATCTTTTCCTCAAATTGAAAATGTAATTTTATATGACCTTTGTCAAGAAATGCTTCTCAGAGTTAAAAATAATTTTGTCTGACTGTATGTTTTACGAAGAACTAACCTGGGGTTTAATAATATTTGAATTGTCAACAAATATATCACAATATAGAGGTAGTTATAGAAGGTCTAAAAGCCAGACAGACTTTCAGCTCCCCCTGCCCCTTTTTTTGCCATACATCTTTAATTTCCATGTGAACTACTACTGTTGGGTAAGATAAGACAGAAACAAAAAAATAGAATAGTGAAAGTAAGTGTAGAAGTTTAGATTTATAGTGTTATTTTTTCCTATTATTCCCTTCTCATAGGCCATCTGAGTTCTAGCCTTTATTTGTGATGCATTGTAAGTTCCACTTTTTCTGTAAAACTTTTTATGTTTACAGGGATCTCTCTCTTAATTCCTATCACATTTATTGTCAATATCAAATACTTAACTTTTAACTTCTGTTGGGGCTTTTTTTTTTTTTTTTAACCAATTATATGAGCATAGCAATAGCAAATTTACTTTTTAAACCTCATTGTCTGTCTCAGTATCTTGCAAGGAGTAAATGATTTATAAATGTATATATCGTTGCTGCTATTTTTCTTGACAATTATGATAAAGGGGAGAATTTTCTGTTCCATTCTACCAAGTTTAAAAATTGAAATCTGAACTCACGAAAATGAGTAGTGGCCTGATTTTTAGTCATGCAAACTTGCAGTGTGTTTGAAAGGATTTGTTTTAAAAGAAAATGTTCTCATTTTTTAAATTAATTAATTAAAAAGGATATATCATACACTTTACCTGTTTAATGAATGCTATTATTATAATTCTGGATGATAATAAAAATAATTTTCTCTTAGGGAAAATTATCATTACCTGGACCCTATATTTTTCTACTCAGTATAGACCACAGATAATTATAGCTGAAATCTATACTTACCAATTCTTTTGAACTATCTATCTTCAGAAGATTAGAGCCCAGTTGAGAGCATTGTCTTTTACTACTCTCCCAGGAATCTGTTGATGTGCTAAATAGGTAACAGCTAGTCTCATGTATAATCCAGTTAGGGGGACAAGAACTGGAAAGAACTCCTGCAAAAAAAAGGTAAATACGATAAGGTTCATATCATATCATTTTATTTTTTCAGTGCAAGCATCATTCATCCTGAGGACACAAGAAATAATCAATGAATTATTATTAATATATTTCATTTTCAATTCAAACTATAGGGACATGGTTTTACAAAAGAGATCACATTAAAATGCCCCATTCATTTAAAATTTAAAAATTGAATTAACTATAAAAGTGTTTTAAACAGTCAGTCTTTCTTTCCTTCTTCACTTGTCTTCTATTCTTTCAAAATCATCTCTGAACTCCCTTTCTTCATGACAACTCTTAAAATTAAGTCAACTCAAAGTCAATCATTGAGGTATACAGTAATTTCACATTAACTTATTTTACAGGTGTGAGATCTATTTCAGAATACAGTTTTCCAAATGCTAAAAGTATAAGAGCAATTACTCACATTACAGAGTATCAGTATTTTGAACTAGCTACTTGATAAAAATAGTGGAAAGTATGGGTCCAGAGATAGGAAATTGAAGTCAAAATATTGTCATGGTCAACTGTGACATTTTAGAAACAAAGACCAATGGTACATAAAATTGTAATGAAAACAATGAAATTGTATAATTAAAGAAAAACAAATTTAACCAGAGTTTTCAGGAACACATCTATTAGGTCTACCTCTTTTGTGTGTGTTTAATTTAGCCTTTTAATTTTTACCAACAATTTTCCTTCTTTTTTTTTTCCTTTTCTTCCTTTCTGATGTGCTATTTCTTATTCTTATCATATCATTTTAAAATGTCAGTTCCCTAAGGACAGAGAACACATTTCAAATTAGACAGTCTCCTGAAGGCCTAAACACATAACCAAAGAGAGTAACTAATTTGAAAAAAGAAAATTAACTTAGAACTGCTCAGCCAAGTGCATAGGGTATTTATGATATTGCTTTATTGTATATATGACAGGGGCATATGAGATTGAGATAATACTGATGTGTGCTTCCCTTGAATGCACAATCGTGTAAAAGTGCTTTCTTCACCCCCCTGCTCCAGGCCATAACACTAATAATTAACTCTCCTGAATTCAGAATCAATTAATCATTTAACTCTGCCCTTGCCTGTGGTTGTAAGAGCCTTAGTAGGAGCCACACTCGCTTCTAAAGATGATTGTGTGGGTCGACTGTGGTTCTCTTTATTTCTTGATGGAAAATTGTTGTTCTTCAATGGGTTGCTTCCTGAATTAAATCTCCAAATACCTTTGTATACAACAACAACAATAGTGACAAAAAAAAGTCATTCTACTATGTTTAAAATTAAAATCTCAAAACCCATATTTCTGTAGTGATATAAAGAAATACATTCTTGTTCAATGATAAGTAGATAATACATTGTTGATGGAGAAGTAAAGATAAATATAGATAGATAGACTAGAATAGATGAATAGAATAAAATAGAGTAGACTAGAATAGGCTAGAATAGAACAGAATAGATGATAGATTAAATAGATAGAAAGGAATAACTTCCATAAAGGATGTGTAGCAAAAAAAAAGCAAAATGAAGCAGGTAAAGAAGAAAGAGTATTAAAGAGAAAGCAAGTGGCAAATGGAATAGAGTTAATTGGAGCTATGGTAGATTTGAAATAATAACAAATTTGCTATCTTTCTTCTGTATTTTAAAAATGAGAGCTCCTCGAGACTCTGTCCAGTATCTATAATATAAACTGTACTCAATAAACATTTGAATAATTAAGAAATATAATAAGACTCTCTGAAGGCACAATTATACTCTATTAGCAATAGATTGCATGAGATATACAATCTAAGGACATTTATTCACCTTTTACAAAATATCTACTTAGGATTTAGTAATGCTTTAGGTAATTCCTGGTATTGTCCAAAGGAGTTTAGATTAAAGAGGTATAAAATAATTTTCTTAAATCATGAGACTCATAAAAATAGCATATAGTCTCTTTAGGGAATTTATTTTATTAGGGAGATAGCACCATACTACTTCCTTCTTTATCTCCTCTGATTTCTTTCCATTAATTTATCCTGGGAATTCCACAGCTATGAAACCAGCCATTCAAGGAAGGTAGTAGAGCAATGTAGTTAAGGGTATGAGTTTTTTAGACAGATATCCTAAATTCCTAATTGTAATCCTACCACTAACTATGACCCTGGAAAAGTAAAATAACTTCCAGTCTCTCATTTCCCTTATCAATAAAACAAGAATCAATAGCACTAATTCAAAAGGATTAATTTAGAGATTAATATGATTATGAATGTCAAGCTGTTAAAAGGGTGTCTGGCATGTTATAAATGCTTATTAAATGTCTGATGTTAAAAATCCTCCTCAGCAATACTCACCTGTGGTACCCAGGACCACAGCTATCACCAGCATTACCAGGCATAAGATCCCCAGAGTCACAGCAATGCAACGCCAATGAGGAGATGCCCTGTAAGTTCCTGAAGAGCCAGAGGGAGCAGAAATTGAATGAAGAAATAGGATGATAGACCATGGATCACTCCAGTTATACAATTCATCAAAATTAGGCAAATTCTAAATTGAACCATGAATCACTGTTTCCCAGATAATCTGCTTATCTAGGCTTAGTCCGACTTTTCTCCCACCTTTAGCATACTTCAGGTTCTGGAACTGTAATTTGAGTATAGTGCCCTGGTAACCATGAACTCCTGATTTCAGTTCCACATTGATGGCTATAGGTCTTACATTAACAGGATTCCTGAAAGCCCACTCATTCTTGGAAGAGACAGCTTAATATAGGGAAAATAGCACCGATTACTAAAGGTAGTCTTCCCTTTTTACAGATTTATTGCACAATCTTGGGAAAATTACTTCTGTCATTTCATTTCTCTTTGTGAAAAATTGGGGTAATAATACTTTAAAGGATTGTCGTGGGGATTAAATGATCTAACACATGGAAAAGCACCCAGTTTAGAGACTACTAGCATATAGGTAACTCAGTATTTGTCTACGCATATGCATAAACAGACACACGCCTCCTTACCTCTTGCATCATCTAGTTTTTCCACTCTTCTTCAACAAGTTGCTCAAGAAAAGAATTGCATAAGCGGAGAGAGGAAAATAATTGTGCAATGTAAATCACCAGAAAGCAGAAGAGCGCAAATTCTGGTGTCAAAACCTGTGAATACTCTCTCTCTTGATAACAGAGAATTCATTTTGTGTTAACATCACCACACCAAGAACATAGTTTTGCCTTTGACTGAGAATAAGCAGTGAGAGCATTTCAGAGAGTTGTTACATAAGAGAATCATAGAGGAAACTAAATGGTTCATTCTAGAGAGAGAGATCTTTTAATGTCCTTCTCTATATTTCACTCCTTTTACATTTTGTTTAAGACTCATGTCCTACTAATAGGATCTTTTTATCTAACACATATATTTTTCTTCATTGGTATATGAAGAACTCCCTCTTGTTAAAAAGAAAAATTCCAAAGCAAGTTCTTATCCTTGCCCCCCCACCCCCACCCCCTGCCACACACACACACACACACATACAAGTCAGATTCAGGATTCTAAATCCTATGACTTTCAGCTTTTCTTTGTCCTTCACCACAAAATCACAAGTTTGTTTTTTTTTCCCCTCACATATTTTCATCTTTTTATTCTCTTCTTTCTTATCTCCAGTGTCCTGATATTGTCAATATACACTTTTTAAAATTTCCTTAACCTCCACTCTACAATTTACTCCTTTCTATCGGATAAGCAACAAATCACTTCTACTGAAATTCTTTCACCTCTATGGTCCATCATACTTATTACCTGCTCCTCTCTGATAAAGTGTCTATTTCTATAGAACAGAGACATTATGAGTATTTACTGTCATCATCATAACTAATTTAAATACTGTTTATTAGTTACTGATTGCCATGAAAAAGTGTTAGTCATATTCAAATCATTCAATGACTTCTGAAAAACTTTAAATATATTAATAAAATCCCTACAAATCTCAAATTTCTCAAATTTTCTTCACTTGAGTATTTTAGATGCTAAGAATAAAAATGTTGAAAACAGAAAGAAGAAATACCTTTCTCGGAGAACACAGGTCTTCTGGCAATATTTCGAGAGCTGAAGTCCAACTGAGTATATCCATTTTCATCCAAATTTTCTGGCTCAGAAAGGTATTCCATTGTTCTATGGAGTTCCTGAATTGGCAGAGCATTTGAGAGCTCTTTCCTCTCTTCTAAGACATCTGCTTGTGGACAAAAGAGGATCTATGACTCAAGTCATCAGGGATATGCATTTACTGAGCTTTAATGAGTTGAGAGTAAGTAGTCCAACCAGTTATCCAAAAGCAGGAAATGAAAACTCTGCTGTGTAAAGTGCCCATTTGTACCTTTAGATCCTGTTTCTGAGACTGATGACTCTTAAGAAAACTATAAGGCAGCACAATAGATAGTTTGTTCAGACCAAATGTAAGAAACATGAAAAGATTAATGTCTTATGCTGCTTTCATTATCTTACAACTGAGTTTGACATCATTAATTGACTTGACCTATGTAAATTATTAACAATTTTGGTACCTTAAGTTTACCATTACTTTGTTATAACTATATGTTGATTCATTTATTCATGCTCTCGCTCATTCACTAAACATTTGTTGAATGCCCATCTCTTCAATTGACAGGAGCTGGGGATACATGGGTAAATGATACCTGTGAAGAAACATTGTCTCATAGAGGAAATCTACAGATAGATATATGAAGGATGCCATAAAGAGGTACATTGTTGTAACAACACAGAAAGGAAACAAATTTCTTTGGGATTTGTCAGGGATTAATAATACAAAGTAGTAACTATTTATTGAAAAATTACTATGAGCCAGGTATTACCCACAGCACATGTTTTCTCATTCAATCTTAATTTTCCCAAAAGTCCCTGTGGTAGGTATTATTTTCCTAATTTTAAATGAAGAAGGTAAGACATAGAAATTTTAGTCCTTTGCTCAGTTTTAAGAAGCTAATAAAAATATTGAAGCAAGAAATCAAACCAAAACCTACTCTTGCTGCAAAACTCATGATCTTTTCTGTTTCGCAACATTCCCTTCTTCACCATTTTAGTATAAGTACACTTATAAGTAACAGCTTATGGAGAATTCTGGGACTGAAATGTTATGCTAAATATTTGATTTTTTTTCTCTTTTTCAATTGCCATAATAATGTCCAAATCGAGGAGATATGGAAAACACTTATCCTTGCTAAAAACTAGAGAGGTACTCAACCCATTTACAAGATTTTGAAGCAAGCAAAATGAAGGTGATATCTGACATTGAAACAATGAAGACAGAGTTACTTCAGTAATGCTAGTACAATAGAGAAGGCTCAGCATAAACTGAACTCAACTTCCCCCAAAACAAAAGACTGAAGACTTCTTTTATGTCTTTATTATTATTATTATTATTAAATTTATTGAAGTGGCATTGGTTAATCAAATTATATAGGTTTCATATGTACAGTTCAATAATACGTCATCTGTGAGCGATTCTTATCCGGAAGAGATACAAACTTCTCCTAATTTTTATGACAGGAGGCAATGGTGCGAGTTGAAGCTGGGTGGTGCTGCCACTGCAGTTACACACCTTTATCCTCCCACAGGTACTGGAAGACTTAGTTCTCTCTCCAACTTCCTGAATGTTTGCATTCAAAAAGATGGGTCTTAGGCCCTTGAAGACAGAATTTTGGGTGCTAGATTTACATTTCAAAGGGCAGAGAAAGGATTTATAATTGCAAGCTTTCTAAAGTAACTTCTTTAAGAGGGAATTCAGGGGCCTATCCCTCATCACCAAGTTTTAAGTAGAACAAATAGTACATTCTCCGTTTCTCAGGCAGGCGTTTAAGAGGGGCTGGGACCATCTCAGGGGCATGACCTTAAACTACTAAATGCCTTGCTAGAGTTTGCCAACAGGTCTCTTAGTGCAGAAATTTGGACAGAGTTGTGACATGCCAAGGGTTCTGCAGTTCTCAGTAACACATATCAGAATAGAAGAGAGCTCAATGGAGAGTAAATAAGTGACTTTCTCCTTCCACCGCCCCACCCCACCCCAGCCCCGACCCAGCCTGCCAGAAAAGTTTTAGTAACTTTAATTTAAGCATGAATTACAGTGCTGTTGGCCATGAGTTTAGTGTTAATGAATCACTTAGTTAGCATATGTTACCTAAGATGTCTTTAAACAGAAACAATATAAAGCAAGTCTGTATACTAATCTGTTGACAAAAATGTTGTGACCAGATGCTCACAGGAACCTAACCTTACATTTCCCTTAGAAGCAATATCTATTCGATGTTCTCTGTGACTTCATAGAACAAACTACCAAGGGTAATAAGAATTAACTGTGTAGATAAATAAATAGTTTTAAAACTTAACAGTAACCACAATAATTGTTTAAAACTTTGGCTAACAAAAGATATTTTCAGGAAATATTTTATCACTGACATGTGTAGTATTGCTGACACGTGGTGATAATAAAAAACAGTCTGACTTTTTGTAAATTTTATTTTATTTTTTAGTTCTTTACAATTTACCACCCCTTTAGTGCCCGCTGAACGTTCGTTCGGATATTTTCTCTGCCCTATGAGAATCTAAATAATCTAATGCTTGAGTATCTTCCTAACTTTCTTGTAATCATCTCCCCTTCACTGTCTTGAAACACTGGCATTTTTTATCACAGAGACACATCAATTTGTTCTTGTCTCAGGGCCCTTGAACTTATGCTTTGGCAGAAATGCTTTGCCTTGAGAACTTCGCGTGGAGGGATTTTTCTTGATTATCAGTTCTGAGTTTAAATATCATCTTCTCCAGGAGGTCTTCCCTGATTATTCAATCTGAAGCAAATATAACCAGGGTGCCTGCCTATTACTCTGAATCACATCATACAGCTTTTCTTGTGTTCTTCAAAGCACTTTATACTATTCGAATATATCTCATCTGTTGATGATTAAGCTCACCTGTCCACATATTTGTAAGCTCCATGAGTTAAGAATCTTGCTTGTCTTATTACTAATCTATTCCAAGAACTTAGACTAGCTTCTGATTAACTGACTCATATATCAATAAATATATGTTGGGTTGATGTATAAATAAATGTGTAAAAGTAAATGAAAATACTTTAAAAGTAATAATATATGTACAAAGTGTATATAAGCACCTTTATATATTATAGCCTAAAATTACCCAGTTCTATTATCTGATTCAGTTTATAAACTCCAGAAGGACAAGCTTTCTATTTCCATTGGTATTCTGTGTCTGATGTCAAATACAATGCCTCCATTGTCCTGCCTAATGGAAAAAATAAACAAACAAACAAAAAAACAATTATATTTTTTATAAACTAAGAAATAAATTATAGGTAATTCCAAGTTCTAGTCCAAAATCACAACCAAATTATCTTTAAATTGCCTTTGGAGAATGGAGAAAAGCAAAGAATGTGGGTGTTTTCAAGTGGGAGGTATTTTTTGTACGTGAATTTGTTTGTTTGCTTGTTTTACATGTGGGAATTTTATACATAATTTCTTTTAAAAGAAAAACAATTGAAAATATTTGGAAGATATTCATCTGATATATTTCACTGATTTCTTTTTTAAGACAAGAAACAACCCAGGATAGAACAATTGAGTTGCATAGAGGAAAAAATCTTCAAATTATTGGCAAAATATCTAAATTCAAAGTCCATGTTCTGTCTAATAAATGCATCACATTGCCTTGTTGCTCCTGATTCTGTCACTGATTGACTGACTGACTTTAGATGTATTGTTTAATTTTCTCTGCTTGTTTTCTCACCAGTAAAATAATGATGGGTTTTAAATCTCTGTGGAGACCCTTGGAAGGTGAATAAAAGAGGTACAGAATAACTGAAAAATGAAAATAAGTTTCCTATGGTATGTGATCTGAGCTAAGTCAATATGAATTAATCAAAAAATTTTATGTCCTCTGTACATACAAATTAACCTAAGCCCACGCAGGGTCAAGATGATCAATCTCACTGTCTTTCACCTCCATATCTTGTCCAACTGGAAAGTTTTCAGGGGTAATAACATACATGGAGCCTTCATCTCCTCTAGTAACAATGCCTTCTTCTGGAACACTTTCTGAAGGAACTGCATAGGGCTCTTCGTGACGAGGTGTCACTTTTCAGAAATATGTTCATGGTTGTTTTCTTGGTTTGTTTCTTTTTTTCATCATAGATTTTCTAATAACAACAGATAACGTACCAAGAACATTTCTCTCTAGTAATGAAAACCTTTTGGCGTTGGGGTCCATGTTTTCAAACTTTTTAGGGTGCTTATTGAGGTCTTCAAAAGTTTCTGCTAAAATCTTCACTGTGGATTTTTGGGAGGGTTCTTCTCCTGCAGTTAGTTTCCTTTTCTCTTGCCTCTTCAGCTATGCATTCTCGCTCCAGTTTCAACAAGTCCTCATTAGACAATTCCTCAGGAGCCACCTCTAAGAGCGCCTCAATGTCATCCTCACCCACACCCAGGTTCAAGTCATTTGCCATCTCAATGACGCTTTGTTGATTACTGCAACTTCCTTATCTTTGGTGGCAAATTTTTTGAAGTCATGGAGGAACCCCTTGAGTATCTTTCTCCAGATGCCATTTATACACTCCTTGATGACATCACCCCAAGTCAAACCAAGGATTTTGATGCAGTCATAGAGGTTGGAATATTTCCAGAACTTCATCACTGTCTTCTCAGTGTTTTCCTCGGTTGCAGCAATAGCTTGCCTTCAATGAAGACAAGGTAAATACAAATGTATGAGCCTGCTGCTGGTGTAACACGGCCTACTGTTTTACAGCAAAAATTTTTTATAAGTGGAAAGAGTTCACTCTAAAATAATGATAAAAAGAATCGTATAGTAAATACATAAACCAATAACAGAGTTATTTATTATCATTATCAAATATTAAGTATTATACATAATTATATGTGCTTTTATACAACTGGCAGCACAGTAGGTTTATTTACAACAGCATCACCAGAGACACGTGAGTAATGCATTGCGCTACAACATTACAACAGCTATGATGTCTCTAGGTGATAGGAGTTTTTCGGCTCTCTATAATCTTATGAGACCATCAAGGTTTATATAGTTCATGGTTGACCGAAATAACACTATGCCACTCATGACTATAATCGGTCACATTTTTACTATGAGTCAGGTTCAGGCTGCAGAAATTCTTCAGTTTTACTCACGAGTAAAACAGATTAACTTGCCTTGAAATTCCTAATATAAAGCAGTAGATGGCACTATCACCTCATTACTGCTGCCTGATTTTGCTAAATCATTTTGTTTTCTTTTTCCCTTTAATTTATTTTTTTTTTATGTAAGCATAGTTGGTACAGAATCTTATATTGGTTATGTAGTTTCAGGTATACAATACAGGGAATTGACATTTTTGTATCTTACGATGTGATCACCCTGCTAATTCTAGTAATCATCTATCACTGTATAGACTTATCACAATATTATCAACTATATTCCTCTTCCCTTTTTCATCTATCCCCCCATCCCCTTCCTTTTCATAGCCATCCCTTTGTTCTCTGTTTCTATGTCTGTTTTTGTTTTGTTTGTTTGTCTCATTTTGTTTGTAGATTTCACATGTCAGTGAAATCATATGGTATTTGTCTTTCTCTGCTTCACTTATTTCGCTTAGTATAATACCCTCTAGATTCATCTATATGTTGTCACATGGCAAGATTTTGTTTTTTATTGCTGTGTAATATCCTATTATATATGTTTATATGTATATATTTATATATATATATGTATATATATATACACACATGCCCCATACTTCTTTATCCATTCATCTATTGATAGACACCTAGGTTGCTTCCATATCCTGGCTATTATAAATAATGCTGCCATGAACATAAGGGTACATATATCTTTTCAACTTAGTGTTTTCATTTTCTTTGGCTAAATACCCAGAAGTGGAGTTGCTGGGTTGTATGATATATCTATTTTTAGTTTTTTTGAGGAAACTTTAGGGGATGTGTTTAGGGGATATGTTCACTATCCTGATTTTGGCAATGACTTCAACGGAACATGTTTACATATGTGAAAAGTTATTGATTGTTCACTTTAAATATGTTCAGTTTGTTATATCAATTACACCTTAATAAAGATGTTAATAAAATATCTTTTGTCTTTCTCGGAATGATATGGCTTTTTAAAAAATAAGATTGGCACTAGATTATGTACAACAAAATGAAAAGGTTTCCTTTAAAGTAGAATAACTTACGAAGGGAGGTAGAAAGTAGAAAAAAATGTTTCTAATTCCATCTGTTCCTATTCAGTAATATTTCTATATCTGGCTCAGTTTGTTTTAGAATTAAGTGTCATTATTTTTTGGTCCTGTATGTTTCTGCATTATAGCGTAATAAAACAAAATCGAAATAAAACAAAATTAAAAAGAGGTAATTTATAAAGGGTATGTACTTTAGAGGAAAAAAATTCAACTATTTTTCCCTCTGGACTATCCACCCCATGAATCTACCAAATACTGTTCCAAAGAATTAAAGGTACTAAGCTATCTTTTGGTAGCAAAAAAATGAAGAAATGACTCATTCAGGAACTATACTTCATTGTAGACTAGTTTACTTCTTGAGACATCCCAATTGCCCTGAAAATGTGAAGATACAGTTTGTGTGTATGTGTGCGTGTGTGTGTGTGTCTGTCTGTCTGTGTGTCTGTGTGTGTGTGTCTGTGTGTGTACAAGTAGTGGTGGAGTCTGGAGAGAGACTACGATTTCAAAGACCAACAGTGGTAGCTTTTAACATTGAGACACATTAAGTGTCTTGAATCCTGTCTGACCTTTCCCTTTTCTGTTTCTTCATTTGCTGTTTTCCATGCGTGCTTCCCCTTTTTCTCCCTCTGCTCGCAGTTGGGCAAGTTCTGCCTGTTCTATCTTCTATGCAGTTTTAAGAGGGTGAAGAGAAAATGGCACTGAGGTAGAGAGGGTTCCAAGGCTTGGAGAGGAGCAAACCTTTAAAATGAAAAAGGGAAGAGGGGCCAAGGGCTGGCAGGAAGGCTTAGGACCAGCTAGGTGAAAAAATGTAGACAGAGATAGAATCAAAACTTTTGATATAAAGGTGTCGGACAGCTGGAGCCCCACTTACTGCTAAAATGTTCTACAGTCAGATAATATCGGTTCTCAGGGCTCTCACGGTTTGCACCTAAGTGAGGAAAAATAGCTTAAATTCCAGAAGAGAATTCAAAGATCGGCTTCTCCTTTTGTTCCAAAGCCTTCAAATTCACTGTGCTCTCAATAGAGTCGCCTTCTTCTGGCATATACTGAATGCATTCAAAATGCAGTTGTCAGCAAAAACAGCTCCCCTTTGTAAATATACACAGGTGCCTGAAGGATACCTCTGGGAAACGGCTCCCTGGAGTCTAAACCTGGGGGTGGGGAGGAAAAAAATAAAAGTAGATTTATTGACATTCATGCTTAAAGCTTCAAATCTGCAGTGACAATGGGAAGGAAAACTCAGAGAAGGGCAAGTCCCTCAGTTGAGAGGATTAGGGAAGGAGAGTGTCATAAATTTCCCCAAACTTCTCTCTGGCAAGAAGAGGACATTGTCTGGTATGCTGCAGTAACTTCACTAGTAAGTTCTGCTATGTACAGAACACTTATAAATGGGGGCATCAGAAAAAATAAGAAACTTACACATGGGGCATCAAAGGGGAACCGTCTTCCCAGAGCCATGAGTGGCTGGGCTTCCTCAGGGACAGCCCGGTCCAGAACGGAGAACTGGAATGGGCACTTGCTCGCTTGATGAATTCCTGTAGGGAGTGACATTTCTGAGTTGATGGTGGAGTTAACGCAGTCATTTTAGATTAGATTTGCAAAACTAAAGAACCAAAAGAGATCTTTCCACTCCCTCAATGATTTCGCAGAAATATTTACTAAAGCCTAGGGATACTTCGTAATCTGTCCATTAAAAGTCATCTATGTAATTAGTAACTAGGCTAGGCTAGAAAACAAGTATACTAACTCAAGAAACTGTTTCTCTACAGAAGGCCTAAACCTGATTTATTTCTCTCTAAGCCCATACTCCAGCTCAACACACATCCATAAAAACTCACCAGGTCATCTGTGCTATTAATTATCAACATCTGAGCATCCAAAGACAAGCAGTCCTTCTGGCTTTTTTCCCAATTAAATGAGTTGGAGGAAAATAAGTAACAGTGTTCTTCATGCCACAGCCAGTCTTGGGGACAAGGACCTAGGAAATATGCTATATATAATTAATGTGTTATGCTTGAGTAAAAATATTTCTATAATTCTTAAATCAAGTCTCTCCCTTGGGACTCTCCCACGCATACCATCTCTTCTTAATCAGAATTAAATCCAGATTCTGCAAATTCCTCAATAGCCTCAGAGTCTTTATTTCTCCATTTTTCGGAGAAAAAGAAAAGACATTCTGATTTTCGTAAGCTAAATTAAAAAGCAGACTGTTAAAAAAGAAAACGAGGCTTGAGCTGGGATCTACTTTTAGAATCTCATCTATTTTTTTGTTTACATCGTGAAGTTCAATGAGGTTTTTTTTTCAATTATAGTCGGCACACAATAATATACCAGTTTCAGTTGTACAGCACAGTGATCAGAGATCCACATAACTCACAAAGCGATCACCCCACTAAATCTAGTACCCCTCTTCCCTCTTACACATTTATTACAACATTTTTAACCATCTTCCCCATGCTACACTCTATAGCTCCATGTCTATTCTGCAACTATCCATTCATACCTCTTAATCCCTTTACCTTTTTTCGCAGTCTTCCCAACCCCTGTCCCATCTAGATACAAAATATTCTTTGTATCTATGAGTTTGTTTCCACTTTTGTTGTTGTTGTTTCTTATTTTGTTCTTTAGATTTCACATGTACGTGAAATCATGTGCCATTTGTCTTTCTCTATCTGACCCATTTAATTCAGCGCAGTAGCCTCTAGGTCCATCAAGGCAATATCTTTTGCCATCCCCTTCCTTTTAGTCTATGTGTGACTTTTAATCTGAAGTGAATGTCTTGTAGGCAGTATATGTAGGGGTCTCATCTATTTTTTAAAGTTAAGTTTGGAATAATGAAAGTGAGAGTTGGGAGAATGTCTTTTTAATAGCCATTCTGCTACTAAAAAGATATGCTTATATATTTAAAAATTTCAGGTCTTCGAATAATGGACTTAAATACTGTGAATAATAGACTTAAATACTGTGCTTCCTGATTTTAGACACATGTTGTACGTGAACCATATGTGGTTCTTGAGTACTTGGATTATGTCTAGTCTACAGTAGGAGGTACTATAAATGTAAAATACACACCTGATTTTAAAAACTTAGTATGAAGAAAGAATGTAAAATATCTCATTAATAATTTGCATTCTGATTAGTGTTGCAAAAATATTTCAGATATATTGGGTTAAATAAAATATTTTATTAAATTAATTTCATGTTACCCTTTGATTTTTTAATGTAATTACTAGAAAATTTAATGTTGCAAATGCAGCACAAACAATATTTCTTTGGGATAGAGATGTTCTAGGTAGAACAGTATATTGATACAAAATGACTTTCTCAATTTCAATAAGATTTCAGAAAATAGGGAGAAGATTTGGTCCAAAGCACCAACTGAGGCCTTAAGCAATAGGTAAAATATGCCAATGTCTATATGTTTATGGACATTTTAAAGAACTCCCACATCCTCCTCCTCCTCATCATCATCACCTCTCCCATGAGTTAGTAACACTTGGAATCTCTTTAATAGAAAACGAAGCCCTATCTATGGTCTATGCTATGACCAAGAATGGAAAAAAGAAAGAAAAAGAAAGAAAGAAAGAAAGAAAGAAAGAAAGAAAGAAAGAAAGAAAGAAAGAAAGAAAGAAAGAAAGAAAGAAAGAAAGAAAGAAAGTGCTGTATGCTTAGTACCTAGTTCAGTACCCAGCACATTGTAGCTTCTAAGTAAGTATGGAAGGAAGGAGAGGAGGAAGGAAAGGAGGAAGGAAAGGAGGAAAGGAGGAAAGGAGGAAGGGAGGGAGGAAGGAAGTAACCTAAAATCCTTGAGAAAAGCAACATTTTAATTTGAATTTTCATTGTGGCATAAAACCATTAGATAATTTTATAAGAGTAGGCTTTATCAGGAGAATGTAGGAGGGTGCTGAGCTATAGAGGAAGAAAGTAAATGAGAAAAGGCAAATAGAGGGCTAGGTTGAAAGCAATGAAAGCGTTTTACTTCTTCTTTTGCCTAATGTCATCATTTTATGTAAAAGGAAAGAATACATTGGGTTTTGTGGACTAAAAGGCAGTCTAGGCAGGTTTTCTAAGCCATGACAAAGCAAGAAAGACAAACTTCAAAATGTGGTATTTAAACCACATGTGTTTATTTTAATTATTATTTTTATTGAATGAACACAAATATTTTTATTTGTGCCAAAAACTGTCAGTGGTACTTTACATATATTAATTCATCTAATCCTCACAACAACACTGTGAAACAGATTGCATTCATTTTCTTTGTTTGATGGGTAGAGAAAATGGGAATTGAAACCTAGGCGGTCTAATTTTAGCGTCTGCATGTTTAATCCTACATCACACTACCTCTCAAACTTCTGAGATGGAGTCAATTGAGGAAATATTTCTTGGTGCCCTCGGGATGTGTTGATACAGAATCTTGGGGTAAACCTGAAATCTACCATTTTAAACAAGCTACTTGGGTGATAATATGTGCACTAACTGGTGGTTGAGAACCACCACCAATTTCCAGGCTAAATTTAAAGTATGTAACTGTGAAGACCCTGAATCTTTTTAGCTGGGTGACCTCAAGCAAACCACATATGGCAACTCTTCAGAGTCTTTCCCTCTTCATATATACACTGAGGACCACAGATCTCTTAGTAAGGAAGATCAAACTTGTCTCACACCTGAGAAAACTGATATTTTTTTCCAGGTGGTCTTTTATTATTAATGCTTTTGAGAATCTTCTCAAATCTGCTTGATGAAAAGCAGTACTTTATTTGGTATCACTACTAATTGGCCTTTATCTGACACTGTCAAGGAATAAAACATGTTACCTAGTATATCTGCCAGTGAAAGACATATCACTTATTATTTTTAATCAGTTATCCATGCCTGGTATCTCTGGGAGATGGTTCTGAAAGGTCCTGACGTAGATTTAATTCCATGCAACGGATAAAAACAAAACTTTTTTACAGCCCCTCTTGTGAAATCAACCACCGGCTAGTAGTAGCTATTTCTGTTTATGTTAACATTCCTATCCTTAATTTACCAGCTTTCTCCCTTTGAGTATTCTTAGAGATGGTATATTCTTTTATTTTCTCAATAACTCTCTCTTTAAAGAGATTAAATACATGTTTGACACTTAGCTAAAGATTAATTTTGCTAAAAATTTCTGCTTATTTTGGAAAGTTAAGTAACTCTGTAAATAATAAAGGGATTGTAAACTGCAAAACTGTATATGAACTTTCTAATCATTATTATTAACATTTAACTTACTTGGGTTTCAATTTTTTCATCTATAAAATGAAAGGATCTGTGGTTATCTGTGAACTGTTATTATATAAAGTTTACTCAAAGAAATTACATGGTTGAGATTGAGTTGCACAGATAAACTGGAGAAAACTATTTATTAGTGGCAGTTAGTTATTGATGCTTAGAATAAGACTCATTCATACACCTCCAAGGAAGAAATGTACTCCATCTCACATCCTCTTACTCTCCTTATGACTAAAACATATACCTGATTTAATTACACACAGTGGGAAGACTAATAGAAATAACTTCTGTAATCATATCAGACTTTACATTAGCATTTTCTTACAGATGTTATTTCTACCAGCCTCCTAGAGTATGAGTCCATTAAACAGCTGAGATCGACTCAGTTCTTTTCATAATAAACTGACTTCCTGAGGCCCTCAGATTTTTGTTTAATCTGAAGTATCTACCTAATACTTCTAAGCCAGTCTGCCTTCATTGATTCAATTTAAATTGATATAGTACACTTTAAGAAATAGTACCATAGAATAAAGCTAAGGTAGAGGTAGAGGGACAAAGGAGACTGCGTAGGAAAAGAAATCAACGATTAAAATACATTGGAATGAAATGAGATAAGAAAATCTGTGGCAAGGAGTAAGGGTGGACCCTAAGTGTTCTTTCAGAAAAATGTCAAAACTAGAATTTTAAAAGAAAGAGATACTTATGAGAAAGGAAAACTTAATTCCACCAAAAATGTGCTTAATTAAATCAGGTATCAAGAATTTGGCAGAGGATGGGGTGGGGATGACAGAAATAGAGAATGTCCGATATAGAACATTATGAAATTATGTTATAACATTGTGTAAACAATGATACACATATCCATATGCCAATTTTTGTGCCTAGAGACATTTCTAAAAAAGAGTTAAGATTAAACCAAGAAGTTTCTAATACCTCTCTTCAACCCTCCCTCCCCTATACCTGAAAAATTTGCTGCTTTCTTCAGAGCTTCTTGGAGATTCAGGTTCTGATGAAAAAGTTCCATTTGTTTTTTGGATTTCTCATTCAGCTTCTGAGTAAGTGTTTCTATCATTTCCTTGAGCTCCCTTTGTGACTCCTGGGAAGCTTTTTCTTCCTCCTTCTGGGCTAAAATCTGTCCCTCCAAAATATTTTCCTGGTGAGTGAGGTTTGCTTTCTGTTGCTTTAGAAGATCAGACACCTGGGATACTAAATCACAGCTGAATTAAGACTATTTCCAATCCCCCCAAAAAATCCCTCCACTGGATTTTGAAGAAATCAAATAACTGAATCAAATAATCTATTCTGACAACAAATAAACCACTAGAAAACGACCCAAATTTACTCAGAAATTATTGATTTGAAAGTTTTTTCATATTCCTGCAATATGTATTTTTAATATCAAGGACTGTCACAGATACTTGTGATTTAAAAAATTATCAAGATTTTACTTGTTATTGAGAGATACACACAAATTAAAAGTAATCCCAAAATAAGTATCAGTGGCATAAATAAAATATAAACAATCTAAAATAGTCAGTAACCAATTAGACTTAATGACTGTTAGTAAGAATGTCATTAATGATTTAGTCTATTTGTATACTCATTCCCATCAACTCTCTACGCTTTCAGACTCCCTAAATTTATTTAACAACTGTGATACTCACCCTTGTTTTGAGGCACTTTCCTACAGAATTATTTTAAGTCACTGTGTCACAAGAGTCTAAAAACTTTTTTTTTTTTTTTTTCCATAGCACATTTTAGGAAGGGTGGAGATGAGATGAAGGTTGTGAAATCAAGCGGCAACAAATGTTAAGGTTCAAGTGTCTTAGTTTTGGAAGTTTTATGATTCAACACTAAATGCCTTGAAGGCCAGATTTGACCTTGTAAAGTGACAGAGATTTGGAGAAAGACTTCCAATTATTGCAGTGGTCAAGGACACGAATCTTGATCATTGTGAAAGGCCTTAGTGTTTATCGATTGAAAAAATAAATGGTTTGTGACCTTAAACAACAACTGGAAAACAAATAGCACTTTAAAAGCCTTAAAGATCTGAATTCCAGGAAGCTGAAATGACCCAGATCTACAACCTGAACACACAGGTAGCTTAGATGAACAATGGGCACATCTTTTTTCCTTCTGGGCCACTTTCATCCTTCTCTTCATTTCTTTTCCTCTCGACATCCTCCCTTTCTTAAATAGCCATACTATGAATTTGAAGTATGTTTTGTTTTAAATATTTTGTTTATTAGACTGTGTTTCTGGTTCTTAACTTTAAAGTGGTATTTAATATCGCTACGAAAACTCAACATAAACAAAATGACATTTCTTTCAATTTTGGGTTTTTCAGGTGAACTTATGGATAAGTTACTCAAATTATTTTCTTTCTCATTATGCTAGGGTTTACATAGGTTCTATCCATAAAGTTATGAAAAAAAGTCAAAACGAAAACTTTGCATTCATAATCTTCATTCCATGCCTCAATTAATTTGAGAGAGTATATACCCATCCATCTTCCCACTCATTCTAAAAACAGTTTGCCTAAAATGTACCTAAATCAAGGTTGTTTGAAGGTGTTCTGAAACCAATTTACAAACTACTTTTATAAACTCTCGTTTTTTTCCTCTGTCATTTTTCTATGTCAGCACTTACCTTGCATTATCAGCACTATGATAGTCACCAGTAAACCCAGGCAAAGGATTCCTAGAGTCACAGCTACAGGGCACCACCAAGGAGAATAAAGAAAATGAAGACCTAGAGTGACAGAAGATAGAATCAGAAAGACAAAAAAGATGCAAGCAAGTAATCAAACAATTCTTTGGATCCCATCTGTACCTGGTACTGTGCATTGCTTAGTTCCAGTCTTCCCAAGGACTCTGCAAATAATTCATTATCCATATTTACAGATGAAAAATAAGGATGATTAAAGAATTTAAATAATTTACTCATTGTCACACAACTGACACAATTTAAGGGCCAAGATTCAATACCAGATGTTCAATTCTAAGTTTCTGATTCTAAAGCTTATACTTTGTCTATTACTCACCACAATGACCCTTCAAGAAATTCTCAGTCCAGCTGGTTGAATCAACTTCATCCACAGGGCAGAGAGCCAGATGTTTTTAATGTAGACCAAGTGTGTGCATGCACACACACATACACACACACACACAGTGTGTTTTATAAGTAACATACCATAAATGAATGTCAGATATCAAGCAAATAAGCTTTAGTCAGTTAATCAACCAGATTTCCTCAAAGAATTACAATATAATTCTCTGCTATTCTATTTTTATTTCACTAAAATTACATCTTGGAACTGGGGTTATTGACCAAAATAAACTAGAAATGAAACCTCAACATTCACTTGACTCAGATTAATGTTACGTTCTATATTTACACCAGATGTAGCCCTGTTGTTACAAAAAAAAAAAATCACCATTAATATAGAAGCAAATAAATTATGTAGCTCACAGGTGTATGTATGTCTAATTATGTGCTCCATCACTAAAAGAGCACAGATATTTTGGTTCAGTGGGAAAATATCTTATCTAATGTATTTAGATTCCTTATCTTGTAAGATAAACAAATAAGGAACTGATAATGTTACCCTGTATATGCCAAGAAGAAAACTGAAAGGTCCAGTGACTTGCTAAGTTCATACAAATATTAAAATCCCAACATCAGTCTTTAATCCAATAGTCAGTAGTTATATGACTTGGAACATTACGCTACAAAATATCCAGTGCGAATATGTAATGATCTAAATTAATCAATAGTCAAATTTATTCACAGAGTTTTCATATGTCAAAAGCACTTCTGTTAGGCTCCACAGATGATACAAACAAGATAGAAATTTTGACATGAAGGAATACGGTTCATTCATGGATTCAAAGTTATTAAGCTCTTAGAGTCTGTGCAGCAAGTTGGCAGAAAAGAAGTAGAAGATTAATAGAGTCTTGTGCAAATAATTTCCTAATCTTGTCTGTGTAAATATCTGTGTAAATCTTTCAACCAACATTTCCCTTGATCAGTATCTACTCCATAGGAGTAGATATTATAGGAGATCAAATATGTCCACTACTCCTTAAGTGATGAAACTTATGAAATTTTAGAAGTCACAGGATCCACACCTGTGCAGGGAAAGCACACTTCCATATTCTATAGGCCACAATTTGTCCTGTCTCCTTGGTAGATAGAGACCATTCATCTAATTCCCGCTTCCACTAGTAATTTTCTAATCAGAAAGCAATCAAATCTTGTATAATAGGTGATTGATATAATCAGGTTCTAAGAAAATTAACTTCATAATTGTAGTAAAGGTCAGGCACTCAGTATATACTGTATGATGAATGAATGAATGAATGAATGAGCAAATAACTACTGTTAACTTGTAGATCTACCTATAAATGCCAGTACTGTTTTCATACCAAGTTAAGTTTATCAGCTCAAATGTTAAAATTTTCCATACACACACTTAATTTTGCTACTGAGAGAAATTTCTATTTTGTTTATGGAAACATGACCTGGAATTTCTTTATCCAAATTCCTGAAATTTTTATGACTTCCTCTCTTTATATTTTGTTCCTTTCTTTCAGAATGGATATAAGATAAAAGCCAAATTATCCAGATTGTTTGTGGAGTTGAGATTATAAATTAATTCATACTTAAGCAGTTTAACTTGCTGTGTATATCAGATTATAGTTTTTCAAAGCAGTGCTACACAATAAAACATAATTTATACTAAATCACACTGAATATTATTTACTCTGCTTACAATAACTCATAAAACATGTCCAGTTTTTGCAATGTCTCAAGGACACTATTATAAAAATTATTATTGTATATACACTGGGTCACTTCAACATTTTCTGAAGCTTCTGATAGATTGGATTCTGGATAAATGGGAGATTATGATACAATTCTAGCTCTATCATTTACTAGCTGCATAAAATGAGTAATTCAGTTAAACCTCTGCTCCCCAGCTAGTTCTCTGTAAAAGAGAAACAATAATAGTCCTAATCTTAAGGTATGAAGATTCAGAAAAATAGTACATGTAAGTGAATAGCAGAGAAAGTAGCCTATAGTAAATGTTCAATGAAAGTTATCATTGTCTACTACACGATCATTCATACCATTATTTCATTCATCATCATCATTACCATTATATCCAACTTGCTTTTCTTCTAAGTAAATGTTGTTAATTCTGTAATATTTTCCCATACTCAGTATTTTAACTTCCTACTCTTATATTCAGTTAATCTGCAGTTTTAAACTAATCCAAGATTCTCTCCCTGTACACACTCACCATCCCTAGTACCTTTAGCTTTCTGTCCATTTGGTTTCTGATCAAGTTGATCCTTCATAGTCTTATTCTTGAGGTCATCAAAAGTTGCCTCCAAATTCATTCCAAGAATGAGAAAGTGAAGCAGTCAAGGACTTCTACAAAGTAAAAATGTGTGAGCTTCTGCTGGAGTGTTTAAATAGCTACCGCTATCTAATAGAAGAATGACTCAATCATTGGTAGGAAGAAGAGGCTTTGCTTCATATTTGCTGACGCAAATTCTTGGGCTATGTCTATTGCAGGCGGGGAAAGTGGTGATTCTGATAGCGTTTCAGGATATTTCACTAAGTAATTTATGAAAGGGAAACCTGTACTTTCCATGAGCATTTGAGGAGAGAAATTTGTACCCACTCTTCGGGTAAGAAACCTGAAACTTGAAAGGGTAAGTCACACTAAATTTGTGGAAAAGTGTGTATTTAGACCAGATTCTTTGATTCCAGTGTCCATATTTGTTTGTTTATTTCACTGTAGCAGATTATCTCTATACTGTGTCTTTCACAAGTCTCACATTTCCTTTTTTAATTTTGACTGTTTTAATAGACTTAGGAATTTGAGGAGTCAATCACATATGGCTCTTATCTTCAGCCACGGATGACCTGGGTAATTTTATTTTATGTTTTCTATTAAAAATTATTGGAGCGACATTCATAAAATCAAATTTCAAGTGTACGATTTAACAGTATATCATGTATGTGCACATATATATATGTGTGTGTGTGTATATATATATACTATAATATATTATACCTGGGTAATCTTAGAACTTAATTGGAGGTACTATATATACAGTGGCAGTGTAGCATAGTAGCAGAGAAAACTTTGAAGCCAGATGGAGCTAGTGTCAAATCTTCCCTTTGCTATCACCTTGATTTATAATCTTGGAGAATTACCTAACGCTCTAAACATATGTCTTTGTCTATAAATTGAAACATTATATTGTCCACTTCATAATGTTAATAATGTTGTTATGGAGATTCAAATTGGGTGAAAACACTAAGTTTTATACTTCAAACATAATAAGAACTCAATAAACAATAGTTATTAATATTATGAGTAGTAATCAGCACAGTTGAATTGCCTGTCAAAGAATTTCATTTTATACATGATTAAGTTGAGTCACAATCATGGAATCCCCATTCAGAGGCCTATATGTATTCATTGATAGAATTCTTATCTATTTTCCCTTCACAACTTCCTAATCATAAAATAAATATCTCCTTACAGTTATATATGCTTTTTTAAAAAAATCCTTCTCTATTAGAGATTTCTTGCAGAGTATTTATGGAAAAAGTGATATGATGTCTTTACTTTAAATTATGCCAGGAAAAAAAAAAATAAAAGTAAGGAGACACATAAAAGAACATTGGAGAAAAATATAGAGGCAAATAAACTATCTAGGAAACTATTAATAAAAATCATCACTATCGACAGCCTAATTAGCATTTCATTCAAAA